AGACATTGTTGCTTCTTTGTTACACTTTTTACCAATAACTTTTTCCCATAAGTAACAGAAACAAGACTAATTTAATTATACTAAATACAACCACCTAAGAAAGCATAAAATATTAGTGGCTTTTCTTCCTGGACATAGAAAAAACAGAAGTAAATATATTAAATTATACTAGTTATTACTGATAAAGGCATTAATTTTGTTTCTCAACTTTTGAGAAGAACTATATACATTTATAATGGAAAAACTGAACCATTTTTTGCGGGGGGAGGGTACTGAAAATTGAACCCATAGCCTTCACAGTAAGCTACATTCCCACCCTCTCCTTATTTTGAGACAGGGTCTCACTGAGGTATTAAATTACCCAGGATGCACTTAAACTTGTGATTTTCCTGCCTCAGCCTCACAGAGTGACAGGATTATAGGTATGCACCACCATAAACTACATGTTCATAAATAAAGAAAACAGATGAAATTCTAAGTTTAAAAAAAGACCTTTAATCTTTCAGAAATACAAGAGACTTAAATCATCTAGTTTTCTAAAGCTTATTATATTTAATTGATCTTAAAAGTAGACTTTTCAAAGAAATGCATCACAAATTATTTTTTAGGCCATCAATTTTAACACTTTAAACTTGGTAAGAATTGGAAAAAAATGCTCTGTATGCATAAGGAGTGTGTGTGTCACACATGAAAGAGACAGAGAAAGAGAGAGACAGAGAGAGAGAGAGAGAGAGAAAGGGCAAACTAAATACCTGTACTATTATACCAAACCAGTAACATGTAAATATTATAAATTTGGCTATCATTTATCTACCTACAGAATGAAAATTACCAAATTATAAAATATACTGATAAGAATTGGTTTAATATTTGTAAAACATTTATTGAGTACTATTATAAATGTTTATCTTTAATACTTAAATAAATCTATAATACCTAAAATAGTGAAAATAGTAGTAAGATACCAACAGTTCAGAGTAATAAGTCTTTATTTTGGTTATTTTTCTCTGTGATTATTTTCTAAGCCATTGGAAATGATATTACATTACATTCTTTCTACGCTTATCATAAAAACACTTCTTACCTGCCAGTAGCAAACTGCAAGAGAAGAACTCTCTCTTCTTGAGTAATGTCTTCTACAACTTCCCAGAACAACTATAAGTAACAAAAACTTAGCTCATATTTCAGAGCAAATGTAAATTTATTAATACCAGAGAACTATACAATATTCATAAAGCATATTTTATTCTATGAAACTCATTTATCAAAAATGATTTCATACAAAGCTTTCATATGCAATATTCCCACAAGAAGTATTTAGGGGAAAACTTTACTTTGTTAATTAATGTAAGTTTTCATCTAATAGTGCTTAAAAGCTTACAAAATTAAATGGCAAACCTAACCTCATTCTAAGCTCTAGAGAGATTTTACCTGAATAACAGGATCATCTCTTTCATAGCCACTTGTGCATTCTGTGTTTTTTATCCAATCACTCAGATCAATTTCCGGCATGCCAGAAAGCAGTAGCTCCTTTGAGGAAAAAGAAAAATATCTCATTAATCTTCTTTGAGAAAAAAATTATCACATTTAAATAGCAAGTCTGACTTAATTAGAAACTAACCCCATATAAAACTGATTTATTTTTGTGACAGTTTCCACAGTCAATAATAACTACCTAGGAAAGAATCCTTGACACTGATAATTTCAAATATTGTGAGGTGGTGATATCGCCACAATGATTCGATTCAATTAAAACAAGAGGCTATAGATTATATGTTTATATAAACATGTAGAGCAGTTTATATGTGACATTGCCTTTAGTTTACTTATTTTTATTTTTCTTTCCAAACATGTTAAATTCTACCAGGAGACTGTATTCTCAACACTAAAGTGGCATCTAAGACTTCAATAAATGCTAGGTTAAAGTA